GGGGTGCGTCACTTGAAAGGGTTGAGTCACTGACGTGATCTTCCTGTCCGGTTTGTCGCCTCTCGGGCTCGTGCAGTGGAGGAGATCTTCGTGGGCTATACTCAGCCTTGTCTCAGGGTAGTAGGTTGGTGGTCTGTTGATATCCCTCTGTTGGTGTGGGGGCTGTGCTTTGGCAAAGTGGGTGGGGTTATATCCTGCCTGGTTGGCCCTGTCCGGGGGTATCGTCGGACAGGGCCACAGTGTCTCCCGACCCCCCCTGTCTCAGCCTCCAGTATCTATGCTGCAATAGTCTATGTGCCGGGGGGCTAGGGTCAGTCTGTTATATATGGTGTTATTCTCCTGTCTTATCCGGTGTCCTGTGTGAATTTAAGTATTCTCCCTCTACTTCTCTCTCTCTCCCTCTCTCCCTCCCCTCCCGGAGGACCTGAGCCCTAGGACCATGCCTCAGGACTACCTGGCCTGATGACTCCTTGCTGTTCCCAGTCCACCTGGTCGTGCTGATGCTCCAGTTTCCACTCTCCTGCCTGCGGTTATGGACCCCTGACCTGTTCACCAGACGTGCTACCTTGTCCCAGACCTGCTGTTTTCAACTCTCTCTCTCTCTCTCTCTCTACCACACCTGCTATTTCAACCTCCAAATGACCGGCTATGAAAAGCCAAGTGACATTTACTCCTGATGTACTGACCTGTTGCAACCTCTACAACCACTGTGATTATTATATGACCCTTCTGGTCATCTATGAACTTTTGAACATCTTGGAGAAAAATCTGGCCAATGGCCATGTACTGTTATAATCTCCACCCGGCACAGCCAGAAGGGGACTGGCCACCCCTCAGAGCCTGGTTCCTCTCTAGGTTTCTTCCTAGCTTTCTGCCTTTCTATGGAGTTTTTTCTAGCCACCGTGCTTCTACATCTGCATTGCTTGATGTTTGGGGTTTTAGGCTGGGTTTCTGTATAGCATGTTGTGACATCTGCTGATGTAAAAAGAGCTTTATAAATACATTTCATTGATTGATACGTAAAGCTTAATAAAGAGCAGTGATACTAGCTAGTGCAGTGTGCGGGTTTCTTCATTTTTTCTTTGGCTAAGGCCTCCCGAGTGGCGCAGCGGTCTAAGGCACTGCATTGCAGTGCTTGAGGCGTCACTACAGATCCGGGTTCGATCCCGGGCTGTGTTGCGACCGGGAGACCGATGAGGCGGTGCACAATTTGCCCAGCATCGTCCGGGTTAGGGGAGGGTTTGGCCGGCCGGGATGTCCTTGTCCCATCACGCTCTAGCGACTTCTGTGGCGGGCCGGGCACATGTACGCTGACACGGTCGCCAGTTGTACAGTGTTTCCTCCAACACATTGGTGCGGCTGGCTTCCGGGTTAAGCGAGTAGTGTGTCAAGAAGCAGTGCGGCTTGGCAGTGTCGTGTTTTGGAGGACGCATGGCTCTCGACCTTCACCTCTCCCGAGTCCGTACGGGAGTTGCAGCGATGGCACAAGACTGTAACTACCAATTGGATATCACGAAAAAGGGGTAAAAAAAAAATTAAGACACTTTGGCTAAACATAGTGGTAAGTAGACTCCAACCAACGTAGGCCTACCTAGCGAAGTTAGCTAACATTATCCCTTTTTCAACATTGTTTTTAAGAGTGTTTAATCACAATTACTGCTGACAGACATGATAGGCTACATTGATTGATGGACCACGTCAAATTCGCTAGCTAACTAATAACAGATATGGCTAAACAAGCTAACTTTCAGGGGATAAACTAGATGGCTATATCCAAATATTGTTTGATTTGCTTGCAATCTATAGTGGTGATGACAGTAGTCCGAGTGACAACTTTATCAGGAAGAGGACTTGCCGATCTCAAGCTCTTTCCAAACGCCTAATGTCTGATTAAGCAAGCAAATGACATGTTGTTTGCTTAGCTAGCTACATGCCTAATTGATCTGGCTACAATCATGTATTTGAAAACACATGTTAATTGATGTGTACTGATCATGAAAAGCATGCAGTTACTTGCTGTATAACTCTGATGATAGAGCTAAATGTGGAATACATCGGTAATGTGTAGTTATGACTATGCTCTTCAAAAGGTGATGATATTAAAACAAAATAGTTATAACATTTATTTAACAATCCCTTGAGAACAGCACATAGTTGTCAATGGTTTTAGCAGAGAAGCAGCCAAATCGAACTCTCTGCACCGTATTGTGACGTTTTATTGATAACGAATTTGAAGATGGCAGAAAGGCCAGTGTCTTTGGCACATGACATGAATTACAGGGAGTGCATTAGCTAAAGACACTGGTACCCAGGCTACAAAAAAGCTGCCACAACCCCAACCCCAACCCTTCCACCAAACGTATTTTTGTTCATTTATACATTATTTTGTTATTTTTACCAACTGTGTGTGTGTGTGTGTGTGTGTGCAGAGTGTCAGTCCCTCCTCTTTTATGTGCAGAGAAGCTTGTCTGGACTTGTCTGCAGGACAAACAGTAACCCAGTGATATAGCCCTGAACTGAACACTTATTGCACAACTTTACAAAACACTGCCTCTTAAAGACTGCCTGGCTAGGGTGTGAATGGTGAAACAAACACACACGTACACACACACCAAACACACACACACAGACACACACACCAGGCTGTGCTCGACACACTGCCCTAGCAGAAAATCCCAAGTGGGACAGCTGAGATGTGGAAGAGGTGAAACCAGGCAAATGCTCTATTACACTATGAAGAAGTAGCCAACAACAAGAAACGGTCTATAGTCAGACCATAAAACTATACAACAGACAGTAGCATTAAACTGTGGGACAGACAGGTGCTAGTGGACTGAACTACTATTTATTTTCTGTGCTTATTTTGAACATTTTCATCACAGAATAAATACAGACAAAGCCATACAGCCAATATCCCATTCCTTCTTATAGCAGATAAATGAAGGAATTATAGAATAAATTAGTAGCTACAGTGACTGTCACTGATCCTAATGCTCCTGTTAAGAGAAATTGGCCCATGCTTACAGGGGGCTACATACAGCAGACTCAATGCCCATTTGAATGTGAGCAGGGTGAGACGAGGAGCTAATCTAAAAGTTTAATGTAGCCACAAGGGCCTCTACAAATATGACCAAATCATTAGGCCTATGTAACATTACGTTATTCAAACTCTGTTAGCCAGTGTGTTTGATATGCTGAAGAATAGAGCAGGATAGTGAGGTAGTCATCAACCCACAAAGAGGGAAAAAAGTGAGGTGAAAGGTGAGCATGGCAGCTGTTGTGTTGGCTGGCTCTCGCAAACACATGCGTGCTGCGCACACACGCACGAACACACACTCACTCAAATGAATTTCTCACCCACATACTTACTCACCCAGTGACACACACACAGAAACGCTCACACAGCAACTGTCAGTACTTTGGGAAAGCGAGCATGCTCAATCTTGCTGCATGCTCCCCGGGGGGACACTCTTTCATCACACATGATGTCCTGCATGTGAACTTCACATGATCCTGATATTAGAAAACAGTGATTTTAAACCAACAACACACTCATCAGGTCACCGTGCTCCATTGATCGGCCATATTGGATTTGATCAAGACCTCATTGCAACTCTCTACTACCGCAGGGCATTTTGTTAATGTATAACCACATTGCACACACACACACGCACGCACACACACACACACACACACAAAGACAGTTGTTCCAACCTATCAGTGGTTATAAAAAATTCTGAATAAACAGGCTCTTAACCAGTGTCTGCCTGCAGCCGTTCCCAGACCTCTTGTCTGTTATGTAACAGTGTTATTTATCAGAGAGCTGGCTGGCCATGTCCCTGGACAGACACAGCTCTCTCTCTCTCTCTGCCTGTGTCTGGACCGCTGTGTGTGTGTGTGCTTTTTCAGTCGATCCCTATGAGAGAGTGTCCTGCACAACACACCATTGCGTGTGTGTGTGTGTGAGTGTGAGTCACAGCAACAAGGAAAACAGCCTTGAGCCTGTCTCGCTCTGCTAGCCACTGAGTCACACACAACAGTACAAACTACTGAGAGAATTACATATAAACAAACACACAGACACACGCTTAATGATACTGGGTCTGGATTGACACAGAGCGATTATAGAAAGAAAAGGGAAAGCGTTAACCCTTTCTTCTGAATATGAGACATGGATTAAGTCGCCGGAGTCAATCTCGCCTGGACATAATAACGATTTTCAGATTATACGAGGGTGGGGAGTTTAGGGAGTCGATAATTCCATAACATTGCATGTCCAATCCATGACAGATGCTTCATGTCCTAGGAACCAATCTTTATAAACACAATGTTATCTAGTATGAAAGATCACACGCTCAACAAAGTGAAACATGGGTATTTTTCTGTAGCGTTAAATGTGTGAACTGCTTGAATCTCAATGTTAAGGTAAAAAAAAAAAACATTTGGTGTGGTTGGCCATGGTGTGCAAGACAGTGACATAAGCCATTGACATCTTGTGCATTGATTTGTGCATTGACTAATCTAGCAATTGGTTCATTGGCTAGTGGTCCACTATCACAGTGAGAGCAGTATTGGTTTAGGTTCATCAGTCAACAGCAAGATGACTATCATATATTCCATTCTCACTAACATGATTGTGCAATCTTGACCTTATTCTAGAACTTTGACCCGCTGAGGTATTTTCTAAAGTCTTGAGAATATTCCAGAACTATTCTGATTCTGGAACACTGGAATGCTTTCTAAGAATCGAACAGCAGTCATCTGACCAAGCTTCCCCACAACATTTATACCCAAACCATAGTTTATTCAAGACTGTTTTGGGATTTGAGGTGAAAACACCCAATTCTTAGAGCAATTTTAACTTTCTGAAATTCTATGCCCCATTCAATGACTGTATCATCTGGACCTGAATTGGTATTGACCCAACTATGGGTAAGGCAGCAACCATGCTACAGGTAATAACCATAAAGTTATCCATGCGGTACTAGGTAATAACTATGTTATTAGCCATGTGGTCCCTACCTGCGTCGGGGGACAGGTATTTGGGAGGAGGGGTGGGGGTCTCTCTCCTCAGGTGGAACTTGCTGTCCGTTTGTTGCCTGGCAACCGCTGGACACCAGCAGGGTCCTCGCCTCCGAGTGCATGTGTCTGTCCGCCTTCTGCCCTTTCCGGATCAGGCAGTGTGTGGGACTGCCGTTAGTAAGGATCCCAGTCAGACCACTGTTTCTTTCATCTGCCTCCCCACCACAACCTGCCTGAAGGATGAAGAACAAAACACACACAGAGAAAATATCTAATGGTTGGAGTCTCAGAACTGATATGTTGGTGCTTTTAGCTTCCAAGGCTTGTAGTAAAAATAGATAATATAAGGTTAATTACATAGTCCAAATGATAGTTTTAGGCACCATTTAACAGATTTGTTTGGCTACATTGTTGGGAAGGGGACGTGTGTTGGGGATTTTGTGTGTAAGGAAATATAGAAGCCGTGTCACTAAATCTGTCCAACCATTTTGTAGCGGATTATTTTGGACGGAGTCAGGCGCAGGAGGGTAAATCACAGAATAAATGGTTTATTCGGCAATACAGAGGTACGCAGCAATGCGTAAAACACTCCAGTGCGGTAAAACTGCGCTCTGGGGAAAACAAGGCACACGGGTGAATATCCCGGCGATACAAAATACAATATAGCTCCACCGAGCTGTAGTAACCTCCACAATAAACAATCACACACAAACACAAGAGGGGCAGAGGGAATACTTATACAGGTACTGATGAGGGGATATGAACCAGGTGTGTGTAATAAACAAGACAAAACAGGACGACGAACGCCGAAGCCTGCCTGAACAAGGAAAAGGGGGCAGCTTCGGAGGAAGTCGTGACACATTTGGAGGAGCACCGGCCTCACGGACGGCCAGGAGGACGCGGAGCAGGGCGAGCCGGATGGCAATGGTGGAAATCGCGCAACAGGGAGGGATCGAGGACATCCCTCACCGGGACCCAGCACTACTCCTCCGGACCGTACCCCTCCCACTCCACAAGGTACTGAAGGCCCCCCACCCGACGCCTCGAATCCAGGATGGAACGGACGGAGTACGCCAGGGCCCCCTCGATGTCCAGAGGGTGCGGAGGGACCTCCCGCACCTCCGACTCCTGGAGCGGACCTGCCACCACCGGCCTGAAAAGAGACACGTGAAACGAGGGGTTAATACGGTAATCAGGAGGGAGTAGTAACCTATACGTAACCTTGTTTACTCTTCTCAGGACTTTGAATGGCCCCACAAACCGCAGGCTAAGCTTCCGGCAGGGCAGGCGGAGGGGCAGATTCCGGGTCGAGAGCCAGACCCGATTACCCGGTACAAAGACCGGGGCCTCACTGCGGTGGCGGTCAGCGTTGGCCTTCTGGCGATGCACGCCGCGCTGGAGGTGGACGTGGGCAGCGTTCCACGTCTCCTCCGCACGCCGAAACCAGTCATCCACCGCAGGAGCTTCGGTCTGGCTCTGATGCCACGGTGCCAGGACCGGCTGAAAATCTAAAACACATTGAAATGGAGATAGGTTAGTGGAGGAGTGGCGGAGAGAGTTCTGGGCATATTCGACCCATGACAAGTTTGATTAAGTGCCCGGTAATCAATGCAAGGGCGCAGATCTCCGTCTTTCTTCTTCACGAAAAATAAACTTGAGGAGGCAGGCGAAGTGGAGGGACGTATGAACCCCTGGCGCAGGGACTCGGAGACGTATGTCTCCATAGCCTCCGTTTCAGCATGCGACAGGGGATAGACATGTCTCCTGGGAGGCACAGCGTCTAACCAGAGGTTTATCGCACAATCCCCCACTCGATGAGGTGGTAATTTGGTCGCTTGTGTTTTGGAAAACGCGTGGCCAAGTCGAGGTATTTGGGGGGGAATGCACGCGGTGGAGGTAGTGTCTGGACTTTCCACCGTGGTTGCACCAACAGAAACAGCTAGACACCTACCCTGACACTCTCTCGACCACCCCGTGAGAACCCTCTTCGGCCATGAAAAGGTGGGGTCGTGTAATGCGAGCAAGGGAAGACCCAACACAACAGGGAAATCGGGGGACTCAGAAATATGAAAGGTGATTTGCTCCCTATGGGTCTCCAGCGTAATCATAGTGACTGGTGCCATAACCTCCCTACCAAAACCTGACCCTAATGGTCGACTGTAAAATACTACCATGTAATCAGGGAAGTTGACGTAGATGGTGAAATGCGCAGCAGAGGGCTCTGAACGAGTGTGGGTTTGCGCTACCTGGGGTGACGCGAGAGTGCCCTGCCTTTCGCCTCCAGACCCAGAAGAACTCTGACGACAGCGTGCAGCAGAATGTCCTCTCTTGCCACAAGAGTGACACTGGATCTGTCGCCCTCCGTTCTCCCGGATCGCTGCACCACCCAGCTCCATCGGAACGTAATCCGGGATGCAGGGGGGGTGAAACGGCAGGCCCCTTCCAGGACGTCCTCTGGAAGCCAGCAGGTTGTCCAACCGGATGGCCATGTCCGCTAGCTGGTTGAAAGTCAACGTGGTATCCCGGCAGGCTAGCTCCCTTCGGACGTCCTCCCGCAGGCTGCACCGAATGGTCGATGAGGGCCCGCTCGTTCCACCCGGACCCCGCCGCTAGAGTTCTAAACTCCAGGGCAAAGTCTTGCACGGTCCTCGTCCCCCAGATGGACCAGGCGCTCGCCGGCCTCTCTTCCTTCGGGGGGATGATCGAAGACTGCCCGGAAGAGGCGAGCGAACGCCCCGTAGTTGTCCAACGTGTCTCCTCCTTCACTCCAGACCGCGTTGGCCCACTCCAGGGCTTTCCCCGAGAGGCAGGAGACGAGGACTGACACCTTCTCCCGCTCCGAGGGAGCCGGGCTGATGGTGGAAAAACAGAGGTCCAGCTGCAGGAGGATTCCCTGGCAGCGTGCCGCTGTCCCGTCGTACTCCCTCGGTCGGGATAGGTGAATCCCTCTGGGTGCTGGGGTGTGGGTGGCTGGATCCGGTTGCTCAGCTGGTCCCAAAGGGTCGGGTCCTCTCCTCTCCAGGCGTTGGACGACCTGGAGAACCCGATCCATCGCTTCGCCCAAGCTGGCTAGCATGTTGGAATGCTCCTGGACCCGCTCCACAACTCCAGGCATATTCCCGTTTCCTGCTGACTCTATGCTGTTGGGTGTGTGATTCTGTAGCGGCTGATTTTGGACAAAGTCAGGCGCAGGAGGGTAAATCCTAGAATAAATGGTTCATTCGGCAATACAGCGGTACGTAGCAATGCGTAAAACACTCCAGTGCGGAAAAACGGCGCACTGGGGAAAACAAGGCACACGGGTGAATATCCCAGCGATACATAATACAATATAGCTCCACCGAGCTGTAGTAACCTCCACAATAAACAATCACACAGAAAGACAAGGGGGCAGAGGGAATACTTATACAGGTACTGATGAGGGTATATGAACCAGGTGTGTGTAATAAACAAGACAAAACAAATGGAATGATGAGATGAGGAGCGGCAGTGGCTAGAAGGCCGGTGACGACGAACCCCGAAGCCTGCCCGAACAAGGAGAGGAGGCAGCTTCGGAGGAAGTCGTGACACATTTGGAGGAGCTGACAAGCAGAATCTACACTGTAACGGAAAATGTATACAGTAATTTTAGGTATTATCAACAGTAAAAATCTTTGAAACATTTACCTGCAGCATACTGTAAATGATGGTGCGTTGTGGGAAAATTGCTGTATTTCGATTGGTACTGTAATTCCACCCCACAGAATACAGTACAAATCAAATAAAGCTTGATTTATACAGCACATTTCAGACATGGAAAGCAATGCAATGTGCTTCACAGGAAAAAACAAATAAAAACATTTTACATTAGTTATCTCTTTTTAAATTGCTAACCTCCTCTGTTATTGTAATGGAGCGAGGTTAGCATGTTTTGGGGGTACGATATTCGTGTGTCTATAAATTTCTCACTCATCAATTTTCACAATTCATTCAGGACTAGCCATAATCATGGTAACATCCACATTAATGTAGAAATGTTTAGAAACATATTCTACTCGTATTTACAATAAAAGTGACTCCAAAATGACACAATACATTATTTACCATGAATTTCTATTGGGCACAAAATAATCTGAAACACAAGGCAAACAAACAGCAAATTCACGCTCAACAGTTTGCCCTGTGTATCAAGAATGGTCCACCACCCAAAGGACATCCAGCCAACTTGACACAACTATAGGAAGCATTGGAGTCAACATTGGCCAGCTCAATATTAGGAAGGTGTTCTTAATGTTTGGTATTCTCAGTGTATACAGTGCAAGTCCCGTGTAGCTCAGTTGGTAGAGCATGGCGTTTGCAACGCCAGGGTTGTGGGTTCGATTCCCATGGGGGGCCAGTATGAAAAATAAATAAATTATGCACTCACTAACTGTAAGTCGCTCTGCATAAGAGCGTCTACTAAATGACTAAAAATGTAAGTGAATAAGTCCTACAAGTCCTACAGGTGGTGACCACAGACCAGTTCCTATGCTTCCTGGCTGATATTTTGGTCACTTTTGAATGCTGGCGGTGCTTTCACTCTAGTGGTAGCATGAGACGGAGTCTACAACCCACACAAGTGGCTCAGGTAGTGCAGCTCATCCAGGATGGCACATCAATGCGAGCTGTGGCAAGAAGGTTTGCTGTGTCTGTCAGCGTAGTGTCCAGAGCATGGAGGCGCTACCAGGAGACAGGCCAGTACATCAGGAGACGTGGAGGAGGCCGTAGGAGGGCAACAACCCAGCAGCAGGACTGCTACCTCCGCCTTTGTGCAAGGAGGAGCAGGAGGAGCACTGCCAGAGCCCTGCAAAATTACCTCCAGCAGGCCACAAATGTGCATGTGTCTGCTCAAACGGTCAGAAACACACTCCATGAGGGTGGTATGAGGGCCCGAAGTCCACAGGTGGGGGTTGTGCTTACAGCCCAACACCGTGCAGGACGTTTGGCATTTGCCAGAGAACACCAAAATTGGCAAATTCGCCACTGGCGCCCTGTGCTCTTCACAGATTAAAGCAGGTTCACACTGAGCACATGTGACAGACGTGACAGAGTCTGGAGACGCCGTGGAGAACGTTCTGCTGCCTGCGTTTGGCGGTGGGTCAGTCATGGTGTGGGGTGGCATTTCTTTGGGGGGCCGCACAGCCCTCCATGTGCTCGCCAGAGGTAGCCTGACTGCCATTAGGTACCGAGATGAGATCCTCAGACCCCTTGTGAGACCATATGCTGGTGCGGTTGGCCCTGGGTTCCTCCTAATGCAAGACAATGCTAGACCTCATGTGGCTGGAGTGTGTCAGCAGTTCCTGCAAAAGGAAGGCATTTATGCTATGGACTGGCCCGCCCGTTCCCCAGACCTGAATCCAATTGAGCACATCTGGGACATCATATCTCGCTGCACCACAGACTGTCCAGGAGTTGGCGGATGCTTTAGTCCAGGTCTTGGAGGAGATCCCTCAGGAGACCATCTGCCACCTCATCAGGAGCATGCCCAGGCATTGTAGGAAGGTCATACAGGCACGTGGAGGCCACACACACTACTGAGCCTCATTTTGACTTGTTTTAAGGACATTACATCAAAGTTGGATCAGCCTGTAGTGTGGTTTTCCACTTTAATTTTGAGGGTGACTCCAAATCCAGACCTCCATGGGTTGATACATTTGATTTCCATTGATAATTTTTGTGTGATTTTGTTGTCAGCACATTCAACTATGTAAATAAAAAAGTATTTAATAAGATTTTTTTTTGAGCAGTGTAAAACTACCAGAAATGTGAAAAGACAGAGTACACTGAACAAAAACATAAACATGTAAAGTGTTGGTCCTTTGTTTCATGAGCTGAAATAAAAGATCCCAGAAATGTTCCATACGCACAAAAAGCTTATTTCTCTCAAATTTTGTGCACAAATTTGTTTACATCCCTTTTAGTGAGCACGTCTCCTTTGCCAAGATAATCCATCCACCTGGCATTACACAGGTGCACCTTGTGTTGGGGACAATAAAAGGCCACTCTAAAATGTGCAGTTTTGTCACATAACACAATGCCAAAGATGTCTCAAGTTTTGAGGACGTATGCCATTGTCATGCTGACTGCAGGAATGTCCACCAGAGCTGTTGCCAGATAATTTAATGTTAATTTAATGCCGCCTCCAACGTCGTTTTAGATAATTTGGCAGTACGTCCAATCTGCCTCACAACCGCAGACCACGTGTATGGCGTTGTGTGGGCGAGCGGTTTGCTGATGTCAATGTTGTGAACAGAGTGCCCCATGGTGGTGATGGGGTTATGGTATGGGCAGGCATAAGCTATGGACAATGAACACAAATGCATTTTATGGATGGCAATTTGAATGCACAGATATACCGTGACGAGATCCTGAGGCCCATTTTCGTGCCATTCATCTGCCGCCATCACCTCATATTTCAACATGATAATGCACGGCCACGTCGCAAGGATCTGTACACAATTCCTGGAAGTTGAAAATGTCCCAGTTCTTCCATGGCCTGCATAGTCACCAGACATGTCACACATTGAGCATGTTTGGGATGCTCTGGATGGCCGTGTACGACAGTGTGTTCCAATTCCCACCAATATCCAGCAACTTCGCACAGCCATTGAAGACGAGTGGGACAACATTCCACTGGCCACAATCAACAGCCTGATCAACTTCATTCGAAGGAGACGTGTCATGTGGCAAAAGGTGGTCACACCAGATACTGACTGGTTTTCTGATCCACACCCCTACCTTCTTTTTAAGGTATCTTTGACCAACAGATGCATATCTGTGTTCCCAGTCATGTGAAATCCATAGATTAGGGCCTAATGCATTTATTTCAATTGACTGATTTCCTTATATGAACTGTAACTCTGTAAAATCTTTGAAATTGTTGCATGTTGCGTTTATATTTTTGTTCAGTATAGACTGTGTGGGGGGGGGGGGCTAGTAGGCTGAGTGGGCGGGGAGCTCATCTTTACTGGCAGTTCTTTGAAAACACCTATGTCAAGCAACATGGACACAGTGAGCAGTGTTGCAGTGAGATTATTTAAAGCAAATTTGCTGATACACAAGTAACTCAAACAACATTGAAATTGCATTCAACATCCAATCCTGTCATACACCACATCATGGTTTTACAAATGTTTTGCTTATCCAACTGTTTGGTTATTGTAACAGTGTCAATATAAATAAAATGTTGACTGTATAATTTAGCTAGCTAGCCCAAATGGAATTGTCAGCACTGTTTATCAGGCTAGCTAGCTAGTTTATCTTGGACAATTTCAGTTGAAACTTTACAGTAGTGATGTTACGTTTGATACCGGAGCTCCGAGGCATGCGTCGAAATTGCTAAACAGCTAACTTCGAAGCAGTGTGCCGATGCGTGTCTCACTTTATCAGAAGTATGTCATCAATTATGTCCGAAGCTTCGTTTGATCACGTGCCTTTTCAAACCGTGTGTTGTAAAATGCGAGACCCCACTGAACATTCAGGGATGTGTGGGTATGAGGTTGAATCCCATTAAAGGCACACTATGCAGATTTCTTTTTAAATGTGAAACCACACTTTCTGCACTGTTGTTCAAATATTTAGTTTGATTTAGTATAGTTTCTGTCTTAAGCATCCTAAATAATGCCATAGAATCCGTTTTTGAAAAATACCCAATGTTTATATCCCAGGACAAATTAGCTAGCTAAATGTCCATGAATGTTTCATATGTGTTTCGACCTGTCCCTAAAATAATATAATTGGTTCAGAGTTCGTTTTGATATTTCAACCTGCGTGTTCTGATCGCATCTGGTGTGGATGGACAAAATCAACATGCGGACGCACACGCGTGGCCAGTGTCGTCAGCATGTGAGTGTACAAAACATTAAAGCTGCAATATGTAACTTTTGGGCGACCCGACCAAATTCATATAGAAATGTGTTTTATAGATCTGTCATTCACATTGAAAGCAAGTCTAAGAAGCGGTATATCTGTTCTATGTCCGCTATTTATACGCTTCCCATTCTTAAGTTTAGTTTTTGCATCTTTTACTTTCGGTTTTGTACACCAGCTTCAAACAGCTGAAAATACAATATTTTTGGTTATGGAAAATATATTTCACAGCGGTTTTGATGGTACAATGATTCTCTACACTATACTTGCTTTTTTTGTCACATAAACTGAAATTAGGAGAACTATTAGAATTATAGCAACCAGGAAATGGAGAAGCGATTTCTGCATAGTGCATCTTTAAGAACACCTTCCTAATATTGAGTTGCACACCCCCTTTTGCCCTCAGAACAGCCTCAATTCGTCGGGGCATCGGCTCTACAAGGTGTCAAAAGTGTTCCACAGGGATGCTGGCCCATGTTGACACCAATACTTCCCAGAGTTGTGTCAAGTTGGCTGGATGTCCTTTGGGTGGTGGACCATTCTTGATACACACTGGAAACTGTTGAGTGTGAAAAACCCAGCGGTGTTGCAGTTCTTGACACAAACCGGTGCGCTTGGGACCTACTACCATACCCCGTTCAAAGGCACTTAAATCTTTTGTCTTGCCTATTCACCCTCTGAATGGCACACATACACAATCCATGTCTCAATTGTCTCTGAGCTTTAAAAAATCCTTCATTAACCTGTCACCTCCCCTTCATCTACACTGATTGAAGTGGATTTAACAAGTGACATCAAAAAGGGATCATAGCCTTCAACTGGTCAGTCTATGTCATGGAATGAGACAACGTTCATATAGCATGCATATCAACGATATCAAGAAGTTTGTTTGAATTTTCCATTTGGCATGTCTCTTGATGTAATGATATGACAACCGTGTAGCAGTTTTGGGCAACCGTTCCCCTGCTTTTGTTCCATGCTGGCTGAAGACCTCATTAGCCAGTTACTAGCTAACACCAGACACAGATGAAAACAGAAAACCCCTTTAGATTAATAGGGGTAAACTCTAATTATATTTGTTGACATGCTGCAGTCAAATTCTGGCACCAGTAGACTAGCTACCTAGCTATGTAAACCACACCCCTCTGCAAACATGCCTTCTGGGACGTTGGTTAAAAGGCAGTACTTATTTGTAAGAGAATAAGACATTACCATTGGTGTATTGAAATTAGGCTTTTTGTGATGTTACCAAAACCCCTTAATAATCCTGCCTCCATCCCACCTCCTGAATAAGTGTTTGAAATGGAGAGGGGACCAGTAAATTTATGATCAAACTTTATGAATGTAGAAGCAACAGTTATTTTCATACTTTGGTACTCCTACTTAATCCAATTTCATGAAAAACATGATTTTGACTGTTCTGGACCTTTAACTTTGAACGCGCAATGAGCCGCCATTTTAACAAATTACATTCGTCATACATAGCCTACTAGTTGCAATTAATAGGCTAACTAACTTGCGTTAGTCGCATGTCTGACCTACATTTTCACTTTAAAAAATAACCGATTCACGTCATCAGCAAAGTTAGCCTCTTCGCCCCCGGAGACCTGTAACGTTATCGGGCGCACAATGTGTGGGCTACAGTTCTCCTGGAGCGAAGAGGCTACAGAATAATCAGAGCGGACTGGTTCTGTATCCCGGGTGAATGCAACATTAGGCTTTCATGCAAAAATGTAACTTAATGTGAATAATTGAATAGGGGGGGAAATTAATAACTAACCAACACACTGTTAGACCAAAAATATTACGTCCAGCATGCAATTGTTATGCCCGTGTAATAGAACCTACTTTATTCAGGTGGGGATATTTTTCTCTCCCTGATGACAGGTCATTCACATTGAGGACTGTGTCCTGGCTTGTACATTCTCTTAAAGATCCATCATCCAGCATGAATTTGTAGAGAACTGCTCCTGTTGCGGGACCGTTCTTGCACGCCAGAATGACACGGCTGTCCGCAGTGGCGGCAACACAAATTTTGCGTCCCTTGGAACCCTCTGCATGCTGGTCAATACTGGCTTGTTTCGAAGCGCCCGCGATCCGTATTCCAACAGGAGACATGTCAAGCAGACGTTTAGAATTCATCGTTGGACCGGACAAGTGGGGACTAAAGAAAGATTACCCGCTTTCTATAGATTTTAGTGCAGATATCTGGAATAAAATACATTTATCAGGATTGTCTTGAATCGATCTCCGTGTGTTACCACTATTCTAAGGTACGGTTAACGATTGTTTAGCTTTTTTCTAAAACAAAATGCCACGCCCACACTCCCTGCGCGTGCAGAAGACTTGTGCAGCTTGGTGAGGTTCACAGAGCACCGCCTTCAATTCTCTCATATTGGTCCTCAGAATACGTAAACGTTCCATTTTGGCACGCGGCCATCGCAAGCCAGCAGCCCATTGGGTAGTTTGGACTGTGTCACTTTTTTTTCTGCGAAGATTGTGGGGGTGTGTCGCTCCAGTTTGCCCTTTGCCGGCCGGCGGTTGGAAAAGGGAGAAATTAGGTAGGCCTAGACTTGGCTGAAGTCGAAACAGTAGCCTTCTGTCTGTGGAGATCAAGTGTAGCGGCCTATTCACAACTTGAAATAATATCCCAAAGCGCGCCATTAATCACTCGTTTTCTCATCAGATAATAACAAAAAAAGCTTAAGCCATTTTATTTACCTTTTTTAAAATGTACATTAAAGGGATAATCCACCCCCAGAAAAAAAAAGTATGTAACTACTGTATATTTGTTGTGTCAGTGGGTAAAATAAGTATTTTCAACATGATTTAACTTCTAAGTGGTTCCGTCTTAGCCTAGGCAGCCGATAGTGGGTGCTATATCTGCACTAGATTGATGTGCATTCCCGGTAATACACTTGTGTCCCCCGTGGACCAGCCCGTACATAAAGCATCCTCCATTCAGGCTGCATATGCATCATTTTCCTCCTTAACTAGCTTTAATGGCAAGTCGTGGACACACCTTCAAATTAGTGAATTCGGCTATTTCAGCCACACCCGTTGCTGATAGGTGTATATAATTGAGCACACAGCTATGCAATCTCCATAGACAAACATTGGCAGTGGAATGGCCTGTACTTACTTTCAACGTGGCACCATGATAGGATGCCACCTTTCCAACAAGTCAGTTTGTCAAATGTCTGCCCTGCTAGAGCTGCCCCAGTCAACTGTAAGTGATATTATTGTGAAGTGGAAACATCTAAGAACAACAACGGCTCAGCCACGAAGTGGTAGGCCACACATGCTCACAGAAGGGGACCGCCGAGTGCTGAAGCGCGTAGCTCGTAAAAATCGTCTGTCCTCGGTTACAACACTCACTACCGAGTTCCAAATTGCCTCTGGAAGCAACATCAGCACAATAACTGTTTGTCGGAAGCCTCATGAAATGGGTTTCCATGGCCGAGCAGCTGCACACAAGCCTAAGATCACCATACACAATGCCAAGTGTCGGTGGTGTAAAGCACACCGCCATTGGACTCTGGAGCAGTGGAAATGCGTTCCCTGGAGAGATTAATCACGCTTCACCATCTGGCAGTCCGACGGGCAAATCTGGGTTTGGTGGATGCCAGGAGAACGCTACCTGCCCCAATGCATAGTGCCAACTGTAAAGTTTTGAGGAGAAGTAATAATGGTCTGGGGCTGTTTTTCATGGTTCGGGCTAAGCACCTTAATTCCAGTGAAAGGAAATCTTAACGCTAGAGCATACAATGACATTCTAGGCGATACTGTGCTTCCAACTTTGTGGCAACAGTTTGGGGAATGCCCTTTCCTGTTTCAGCATGACAATACCCCCGTGCACAAAGCAAGGTCCATACAGAAATGGCTTGTCAAGATCGGTGTGGAAGAACTTGACTGGCCTGCACAGAGCCCTGACCTCAACCCCATCGAACACCTTTGGGATGAATTGGAACGCCGACTGCGAGCCAGGCCTAATCGACCAACATCAGTGCCGACCTCACTAATGTTATTTTGGCTGAATGGAAGCAAGTTCCCTCAGCAATGTTTCAACATCTAGTGGAAAGCCTTCCCAGAAGAGTGGAAGCTGTTCTAGAAGCAAAGGGGGGACAAACTCCATATTAATGTCCATGATTTTGCAATGAGATGTTCGACAACCAATAGTGTAGCATGACAGACCAAGGCTAGTCCCTTAGCTCAGTGTTTCTCTCCCTTTTTTGTTACTCTACCGGCTATCACATGGTTTTACCCTTGGGGATTATTAAAGTACTACTATACTCCCTTATGTTCCTTTAACCATTAGACATATGTTCTTATAAGTTTTGTTTTTTTACCCCCTGTGAATACCCTACTACACAGTTGTATCTTCTATGTTAGAACAATGTTTGATTGTTGTTTAATAAAAGTGTGGCAAAACCAAGGTATGCCTAATCTTTATTTACTACATTTAAAATCAACACAAGTAGCCTAAGCATGTTTAAGAAGTGTATTGTTCCAAAATCTGTTAAACGTACATTATTTTTATTGTTTAACAGTAGGCTAAATTCAATTAACAGTAATTGAAAGCCACATTCACAATGCTTTTGGTGTAGTGCAAATTTAAGTAAATAAAAACAAGCATTTTACATAAGCCATGTCTGCTGCTGGTTTCTGACGTCCTTATCTGGCTTAGACAAACTGTCGAAATACAGCTATGAAGCTGTTGTTAAACGAGGCGATCTGGGCCATCTCAGCCGCCCTGGCTTCCCTGGCTGCTGCCTCATCTCCACACAGCTGATTAATGTGCTGATCCTACTGCTGACGCTGGGCCTCAAGTGTCTCCAGATATGAGGCCTCGCTCTCCCTCATGAAATTCAGGTATTCGCTGGTTATCCTCGCAGTGTGTTTTCTCTTCCCTGGGAAAATATATAGGCAGAAATAATTACATATACTTATGTACATGTACTGTTAAGAAACTAACTGTGAGAGCTGTTAAAGCCCCCTGGATTGATGATTAATATAAATATTTTATGGTTAAAATAAATTATGCAAAAGAGGTGGCAAACTTCAGCCTGTAAATTGAGAAATGTTATGACTAAACTAAACAAAAATAAATTATATTACCAAACAAAGATAAATGACATAAAACACAATGGAAAAAGTATTTGGAGTACCTTAAATGATATCATGGGCATAAAACCCAATTCCTCTTAATCGTTAATTGAAGTTGATGGGTCATTTATAACAAAACCTTTCATTTCAATTACTATTTCACTAATAAAGTGGAAAAACTCAAATGAAATTACAACATTGAACAGTGAACCATCATATCTAATAATGAAAGAGAAGGATTGCTGTTTTGAATTTGGTCAAGTTAGTGTGGGGGAGGTTGCATTATTTTTGTTATCCATCAATAATGATAAGGTATACCAGGTATAGACAACATTGATGGGAAACTATTGACAATGGTAGCAGACTGTACTGCCACCCCTATTTGCTATATCTTTAACCAAAGCCTAAAGGAGTGTGTGTGTCCACAGGTGTGGAAGGAAGCTAATGTAATTCCACTGCCTAAAAATAGTAAAGCACCCTTTGCTGGCTTTAACAGCCGCCCAATCAGTTTGCTACCTGTTCTTAGTAAACTGATGGAGAGGATTGTGTTTGACCAAATACAATGCTATTTTTCAGAGAACAAGTTAACTCCTGACTTTCAGCATGCATATAGAGAAGGGCACTCAACTTGTACTGCACTGACTCAGATGACTGATGATTGGTTAAAATAAGATAGTTGGTGCTGTATTGTTAGATTTCAGTGCAGCTTTGATGTTATTGATCATAAATTGTTATTGAAAAAACACACTTGCTATGGCTTTACACCACCTGCCATCAATCACATGGTTGGAGAGTTATTTATCCAATAGAACCCAGACAGTGTTCTTCAATGGAAGCTTCTCTAACATCAGATATGTACAGTGTGGTGTCCCTCAGGGCAGTTGCTTTGAGCCGTTACTCTTCTCTATTTTTACAAATGATTTGCCACTGGTCTTACACAAAGCTAGAATGACTATGTATGCAGATGATTCTACACTCTACATGCCAGCATGTACCCAAAGCCAGTGAGCTCACTGAAATTCTAAATAAGGAGCTACAGTCAGTATCAGAATGGGTGATTCATAATAAACTGGTCTTAAATACATCTAAAACGAAAAGCATTGTATTTGGTTCAAAACATTCTCTAAGACATAAACCTCAACTTGAGTTGTACATAAAGGGTGTGACCATTGAGCAAGTTGAGGAAGCTAAACTCCTAGGTATAATATTGGATGGTCAATTATCATGGTCAAGTCATATTGACAAAGTTGGTGTGTAATTACCCCACAAGACATGCCACCAGCGGTCTCTTTACAGAGCTCACTCTCACACACTACAGCTAGCTATGCTGAAGATCTTTGGTAGCTAGCTAGATAGTAATTTGTCTAAAAACAATGTATTACCTTGCTGATCATCGCTGCTCGTCGTCATCATGACTTCAAATATCGCTGTCTGATCCACTTTTGTTGATGTGGCCTTTTCTCTTTTTATATTCTTGTTTAAGTCTCTTAATTTTTTCGCTGCACTGTTTTACTGTCCGATGGCTTCCATCTCGGATAACGTATCCAATATTTTTTGGAAGACCTTTTCATTCCTGGTGGAAGAATCCAGTTGCCTCTGGATGCTGGAGTCTGCCCAGATGCTCAAAAGCGCTTGGACATCTCCAACTGATCAATTTGCTGCTTCCATTATTTGTTTTTAGCTTTAGAGTTATTTGTTACTGTAACTGTACCATTCGTAGTCAGATTTACCTTCTCTTATAAAAATGGCAACAGTGACTCGCGCATGAGTATTCACAACATACGCGACACTGACATCATTGTGAGAGACTAGACCAATCATTGAGTACGGCCATTTGTAACCCCACCCACCTACTTGGTTTGCGGTAAGTACCAGATATCAAACGAGGCTGAATATACTAGGAATCAAGCGGGCCATGGGCAAATGGAAATGAAATAGAAACCGTGATATTCACGGCCCGGCACGGCCCTGCAGTGGAAAAGTGCCATAACTCCGCCATGGCTCATTGGCCAAAGCCTACTGGGAAATTAATGGAG